AAATATTAACACAGACTATAGCATAAGAAAAGATTGAAATTTACCTCTACTATGTAAACGCTCACGATCTCCCCTCCAGACGTGGTACAACTCACATTTACTAGCTCAAGTCCTAAGTAATTCATGGCCTCCATCAACTGCGTAAATCCACCAGGTTTACGTGATCCAGAGACCTTCAACAAGAACTCTCTTGCACCAATTTGATTCACTTCCACCTGCAATGCCAAATATCAAGGAGACTCTAAGGCACCTGTAAAGCAATAGAAAGAAACAGAAAGAAACCAAGCAACGTCCAGCACCTCCATTCTCGTCCTATCAGTTGTATTAACTGAAATTTGTGTTTTCTCATTTGTTTGTCCGGTAACTTTGGACATTTCAGTCATGTCTGATAGGACCATTTCAGGAGTACTCTCATTGTTGGTAACTTCCGCTTCTATTTTGTTGAGCTCAATTTTGTATAACTTCACTTTTTCTTGCAGTTCATTTATATAGTCAATCGAGTCTCCTAGTATTGCGACTTTGTCCATCTGAAAGAAATCAAGCAAGGATAGTATCAAAACCTTGAACGAGATATAGACGTAAAATATAAGATGAGTAACTTTATTAGCAACCTTAGTGATGTTGGGAACTAAAGCTCGAAGTGTAAAAAGACCGTCTTTGATTCTGTTCCTTCGTTTTCTCTCCGTGACAAGATTCTTCGACTGATAAGGTCCTTTTTGCCTTTTCTTACCCATACTGAACATATCTCCTGCAACTATATAGTTTTCTTGTTTCCAAGGAAAAATAGTGTCTTCCATTCTTGATAAGTTTCCACTGCACTGAAGCTCTGTGTGCTCAAAATACCCTTCAGTAGATTGACTTAATGGTACATTTCGCGATAAATGGTCAGGAGGTGAATGACACAATGTAAGTTCATTTGAAGGGATGGAACCGGTCGATGATCCTTGAATGCTGGGATTAGCACTAGACTCAGATACTTGAGAAATATGAGGTGCACTTGAAGGAAAACTTGTGGCATATTGCAGGAGAGGAGCACAGAAGTTTGATTTCTCATAGGGAAAGAAATCAAGAACTTGATCTTCTTTCTGTGCTACGGAACTATTGGCTTCTTCTGAACCAAGTTTGAACCGATTGATGATGAAATTAATCGTCTTTTGATCTTTATATATCTGTTCAATGCAAATTAATGTAAAGTAGATGGTTAAGTTTTTCACTTTAGTGCATACTGATGGCCAATTTACTACTTTAACAAAACAACTCATCTAACATTATCAGAAAGAGAACTACATTATCTCACATATCACATCAACTTAAAATCGAATAGAGAATGATTGTTACCATCTTTGAATTGTAAAGCTCAACCAATCCACCAGCAACGGGGATCAATACGAGGGTACCCTTTAATTCCTGCAACGAGTTGAAGAATTCAATTTAAAACATCTCTCAGATTAATCTTGAGAGCTCAGTAAAGACTTCAACTTTCAGAGTTTTACTAACATGTGACAAATTTGAATTGGAAATCTCAGCATGATTAATCCACTTTGGTTCATTTGATGTTACAACCTCTGCCTGAATCCTGTTTTCGCACATCTCCAAGTCATGCCTTCTTATAGTATATATGTTTAAATAAATCGAATTCGAGTACAACAACAACATACACAATATAGTCCCACAAGTGGTGTGTACGCAGACCTACTGTTTTAGATAAAGCAAAAACACAACATCTACGAAAAAGGGGAAACAGAAACATACCCTGAATAAAGAGAAATAGAATGAGGAAAATGAGCTAAAGCCTCACAAGCCTTTGTTCTAATAGGATGCTGCACTTGAATATCTCTACACAGAGAACTAAATGTCTGTTTCCCTCCATTTTCTCTCTTAACATTGACATCAACTCCATTTGCACCAGAACAGCAACACCCCATCCATTCTATAAACCTAAACACCACAAACACATAATAAGTCACACACACAAACACTCAAACACCATATGGACAAAAGGTTTCAATTTTCAAGAATGGACAGAGCCAGAAACAACTCTATGCATTTTAGATATCATGAATTGTAACCAACATAAATCCCACAAGTGAATACTCGTGAAGATACATAAGTTGTTTCCAAAAGACCCTCATCTCGAGTATGACAAATCAAACTTTTACCTTGAAGGGTCATCACCAAACTTCCAAACAACACAATATTCCCAATTTTTGGAATCAACAAGTGGTCTTAACCATTCTAATGCTTTTTCCATGAGTAATATAGTAAGTCAGAGTTATTTTCATGAAATTTGAATACTAAAAACAAGACAAGTCAGGAATATGGCTTTCTCTACTTAAGCAAACGACAGTTATAACCAATTTTTTTTCTTTTATGTGAGATGGGGTATCCACTATCCAATAATCAGCACAACAATCTTTGTCAGAGGCTTCTGATGGACCCTCTCTGTAACATATAGACAGAATAGTACCTTGGGTAAATGTTTGACCGAAGACTCTTAAGAGTTCCACAGTTGCATTCTCATTTTTAGAATATTTTCAACTGAAAAATAGTTTCGATTAATTTAGACTCGTGTCGGATAGTGTTAACTTGGTCGAAACACTCTCTATTAGGGATTTTCTAATATTCAACACTCGAAGTTGAGACTTTTGATTAACTAATAAGTAGTCTCATTCTCTAGCTACAAGATATCGACACTTAAAACATCCCTATTAATTTTAGGCATTACTATAACAAAGTCATGAAATTACTCTGTCCTTTTCAAATAATTGAAACGGTGTGAATTGCTCTTAAAATATAAATTTTGTCAACTCTATAATCAAATAATTTAGGAAACAAGCTCAAATATTAACTCGAACTTTGAATTTTTTTTATCTATGTCATCCGTTAAAAGTTTGATGTCTCATCTATGTTATTTTTTTTCGGAAAAAAAAGGCATATTCATGTCCTTTTCAAGTTACATATATCTTGATTATTTATATAATCAAATAATTGAAGTAACTTTAATTTTATTCTATTTTTGTCTCTTAACAATGGACATTTAGGGACTAATAGAGCTAACACAAATATGTTTTTGCTAGAAAAAGCCATAGGGGGAGTAAGAATAAAAAAAAGTAGGTGTGTTTGTTTTTGTACTTGATAATTTGTACATAAAAGATGCCATTTTTTTCTACTATTATTCTTCTCTTTTGAAGATAGTACAAAGTTTTACTTTCTCTCTCTTTCTAGTTTCTAGTTTTTATATATTTTGTTACACATTTTTAACTTTTATTGGAAAGAATCATTGGGAATTTGTAAGGTCAGTAAGTTATACAACTGTGCTTGTTTAGAACGTATGTATAGTACCATTTGCATGTGTTCAAATCAAATTGTAAGAATTGTCAATTTGATGCTGAGAATAATATCCACATTGGAAAAAAATAATCAAAAGGTGAAATTGTCAATTATTTATTTAAAATGTTAAAATATTTTGCATTAAAGTAGATCGTTTATATCTCGATCTCTTGAAGTAATACTAAAATTTAAAAAATAGAGTTGGTAGAATGTTAAAGTCACTATAATATAATTAAGAGTAAAATTGTAATTTTGATATAATTTTGTTGGGATATAGATTTAAGCATTAACCAAAATCATACAATTGAAAAACTAACAACCCAATAACTCAATAATATTTTTTTTTCGATTTATCGATTAAAGCAATTCTCACACCTTCTAGAAAAACCCACCTAACCCTAATTAGGTACCTCAAGTTTTATTTTTTTAATGCCAAATAAAGAAGTTAATGGTTAGCACTACCATTTTTTTAAATTTGAATTCTAAAAGCAAAATGAGAAAGACATAAATAAAAATATATAAAGAGGAACAAGTAATAAGTTATCTAACAAACTAAAAATAGAGAAATTGAGAAATTTCATCTTATCCATCACATTAAAACTAATAATGAACGAGAGAATTTATCTCTTGACCATCCAAAACAATCTCTTTTAGCCCCATCAAAAATCTTTTTTTCTCTTTATCAAATTTAGTTTTCATTTCCATCAACATCAAAAACAAAACTCCCATCCTCCTTGCTTCTTGCCCTCACTCCCTTCCCCCTCCATAAAGAAATTGAAAAAAGAAAACTCACAAGAGGGAAAAGAGGGCATTATATTATCAACCTACAAAAAAAAAAATGGAAAAAATTGGTGATAATATGCAAGTAGAGGAAATGGAAGAAATAAAAGATGTACAAGCAAGAAAAGCCACAATGGTTGGCATAATTGTTGTAGCATGGGCAATTCCTACTTTACATGTCACACATAGGACATGGCATCATTTTTGGTTAGATAGGATAATATTTTTTCTTCCATCTATATTTTTTCAAGTTATACATATCTTGATTACTTGGAAATTTTACAAAGAGATGATGAAACTTATACAACAAGAACAAGAACAGGAACAGGACAGGAAGCAACATAGAGAAATAGATCATAAAAAACCATCGTATACGTTCGTATGCGCGTATTTGTTTTTGATGATAATCATGAGTTGGATGACAGTATCCTAATGAAGATGATCAAGCTTTAGAGTGTGATTTTACAAGTTGTTCAATTCTTGGGAATGATTTGTAGTATTTGCTATTGTTTCCTTTTCTTTTAAGTAGAGTTTTTGATTGAATCAGTTTGTATATGAATTGTTTGAATTCAAGTAGGAATTCTTGATCATCAATCATACAGTATTTTGTCTCTTTATGTATGTAAATGTTTACCTTAAAACTTTTATTTTGAGAGAAACATCATGTGTGTTCTGTTTTAAGATTAATATATAACATGTTTCACTACAAGACAACATGTTGTTTGGGTTAAAAATTTGATCAAAGAACTTGACATCAAGATACAGGGGCAGTTTTAGTTTATTGTGACAGCAATGCAGACATCAAAATCATTGGAAATCCTGTATTTCATGAACAAACAAAGCAAATAGAGATAGATTGACACTTTATTAGGGAGAAGGTGCACCAAGGCTTGATCAAAACCAAGGATGTCTCATCTACTATAGATTACACCACTTTGTCTTTTCAACAATGAATATATTATTATATTAAAATGGAGATACTATATTCCTAGTTTTTCCCATTAGCTTTCTTTTGAAATAGCAAATCTTTCCTGAATTCCAACAAAATTGTGAGATAACTAACTACCAAACTTCACATTTGTCACTGCTGGAATTTCAACCTCACCTCGTTTTTTGGATCTCTGCTGAATTTTTAACTTGTCGCACGGTTTTCACTCACATCATTCAGCATTACGCCACAGTCTTGGGTGAAGCCATCAGACCTTTTATTAGCACCAGAATATCATTACGCATCGCAGAAACAGAACTTGGACTGACCTGTTCTAAATGGGAGAACCACAGAGTATCTGCATCTTGAGTTCCACTGCTTGCATACCACTGACAGATGACTCTTGCAATAGCTAAGACATACACGCCACAATCATAACCATTAACTTGCTTTGGCATGTTTGGACACTCTTTATAAGTGGCATTGGATGATGTATAGGGAAGAGTAGCCTTGTATACTTGTTTGGCATGATACTCATTCATGCACCCGGAACTGCTGTCATGATGTACAAATACATTGGAGTTTCTATCAAAAACCAGTAAGCTCCAATGACTCCCACCTTCAGCCATGCACACGTCAGAATTATCGTTTATAGGTAAGAGAATCAACTTCCTTCGAGAAAGATGAAGTGGTTCCATGAAATCCTTCAGGCTTTCAGGATCAGGACACTCTTTAATCCAGAAAGCAATAGAAGGTGGTACCAGTAATATGTCGTCAGATGGAAAGAGTGAGCTGAGATAGCTAAAATAGAACTCAATGATGCGGTCATTGAGATAATAAGGACCATTGAGAATGTCCAAATCTGATCGCCGAAGAACGACATCGTTGTAGCTGAGAATCTTCTCATCTGCTCCGGATTTAGCCATGGTGCCACTGCAAATCTATACATAGTACACAAGAATTAGATACAATAAGGAAATATAGGAAGGAAAAAAAACAAGTGAATATTTTTCTTCATTCTGTTCAAATATATCAGTACTTCACTACTTTGTTAGTACGACTTCAATAGAATTGCATGATTTCACAAAAAAAAAAAATGAATCTGTTCAAACATGACCAGTACTTTGACCAAAATATGAGGTGAAAGAAAACAAAGGATGTCCACAAACACTCAGGAGAAGAGATAGAGTAACCATAATCACTTAGAAGACGAGATAGAATGTCCATAAACACTTAGGAGAGATTATATGTCTTGAACCAAAGCAAACTTCAACCATAGTACCACACAAAACTTCCTCCTTATCTTACCATCATAGATAATATCCTTCATATCTATGCAAATCAGATAATCGAACAGGTTATTATGTTGAAGGTCAGAACTCATAATACATTAGCTTTGCCTTGCTAAATCTGAAAGTGGATATTCTCTACCATTTCATAATTAGTATAGTGGTGCATGACTTGGCTCCTAATGCAACAGAGATTTAACCCATCAGAGAAACAGTTGGACAATTTTCGTGAAAAAGGAATAATATCATGAAAGTAAACTAAAGCACATGAATGAAAATATACATTGATCAGACTTTATGAAAGATGATAACGGTTCACACTTCTCTAGGTTGTGAGCATATATGTCAATACACAATGTTTTGAAGTTCTCTCACTTTTTCTATTATATTGCATGACAGACAAGAATTCCATCTCCCCAGACTGTAAAGAGACTCGGACTAAGATATGATGAGCAACTAATCATTTGTGCTAATTGAAATCATGTAAATTGGAGAGAGGTGGCTGAAATTAGTTAGTTTTTGTATCAAAACTATCAAGATCTCTATTTTGGAGAATGGAGAACATGTAAGTTTTTTTTTCTTTCTGAAAGGGGTCTCAGACACGGGGATCCTCTCTCATCTTTTCTGCTCACAATAGTCATGAAAGGATTTAATAGGAGTCCGGAGCCTAAAGGGCAACCCTTTTTTAATCAAAATTTCCAGAAGGGCAACAGAAATGAAAAGAAACCAAAGGAGTAGCCGCGTGAGGGACACCATACCTTACAATAAAAATTAATGGAAGACATTTAACTTTTATTGTAAGGCGTGAGGATCACGGCACCTTGTACCACGCCTTATAAGGCATTATGTACCGCACACCTTGTAAGGTATATGGCAAGGGAATAAATTCCCCTCACCCTTGCATTAATAGGCTGCACGTGACAGCTAAAAATGAATGGAGGGAGTACATAAATAAATTGTTTTATTTGTAATCATAATGTAAGAATGCCTTTTAGTAAGAAGGAATTCCACCTATCAAGATTCTAATTGAACGTACCTATAAATCTACAGATCTAACTTGTAGCCAGAGAACAGTGGAGTCACTTAATAAGTTCAGCCTGTAACTAATTATTTGGTTAGTTTGTTATTGAGTAGTTAAAAAGCATTAGTTGGTTACGTGCATTAGCAAGTAAGTCGGTTAGTGTAGCTACAATATAAGCTTATACTGTTTATATTCATTTTCATTCAGGTTAATGAGATTCATTCTCTGCTTTCCTACTGATACAAAAACATAATCAATTTCCTCCTTCTTTCCTCTCTCAATATCTCCGTATCATATTTCAGTACAGCCCATGGAAACCATCAAACCAAAACAGTTCCAAAGTGTCCCAAGAAAGACAACCTGACAGTTTGTTCATAACAGTTCCATTGTCTAACACTACGAAGAAAAAAGTCAGAGACTTCCACTCAATATCAAGTTTTTCATCCAATTCACAATACACGAATTCAAATTTATCAATGAAGAGCAACAGCATATATTTTGAGGCAATTCATGACTGTTATCACTACTTAAATACAATGTAACATCTTCCACTTTTTAATCTCCACATACTAAACCATCGACGAATTTCGACATCATATCTACACAAGTCAAAATGGAGCTAGAATTATTTGATTTTCCACGAAGTGCAATGAGCGAACGCATAGTTCACAAAGAAAAAATGAAGCTTTTTATGCTCAAATCATATGAAAGACAGAAATATAAGTTATCAACTGTAGTCTAGAGATACTGTCACCGTTTTGAGACAAGTAGTGAATCGTCATTAATAAGGAGTGGATCCGGAAACTCACTGTTTCGGTATAGGGTTCCGATGAATCTCTCCGTTCGTTCTCCGGCAACTGATTTCTCAAACTGCTTGAACCGGAAACGTTGTTATGATTCCCGGTGGCACTCCGATTTCAGGCGCTTTCAATTTTTCCCTTTTTTTTCTTACGTAAGAGTATTTCGGGTTCTTTACATTTTGCACCCTAATTTATGTTTCAATTTTTACCTTTCACCATAGCCTCTTTAATCTTTTACAGTTTACACCTTTATATTTCCTTTTTCTTCTTTTTACAATATAATAAAAATAATTATTTTGTGAGAGAGAAAATAGGTATTACACAATCAAAAGAAATAAGCTAGAGATATAATTTATTATCAAATGAACAAAAAAAAGATGAAAAAACATAATAAGTATTCTTTAAATTTCTTCATGGACAAATTAAATTCGTAGTTAAATTTTACTAAAATAAAAAAAAAGGGTAATAATATATAATAAAAGATATCAAAGAAGAAATTGAACCCTAAAAGAGTCGCATGAAAGAGGGAAAAGGGGTGGGGATCAAGGGTTAATAAAATTATATGAGATAATAAATTGATAATCAGGTGAAGTTGAGTAGTAAAAATGTAAGATGACCAAATGGTTATTTTCTCTAATTTCCCCAAGTATATAAACAACAAAAGAAAGAAATTAGATTGGTTTTTTTTTTATATGAATAAACAATACATTCTTAGGCTTGATTTATTTTTTATATGAATAAATAAGTAAAAAAATTTGTTTAATAATGACGAATATAAGAAATTAGATTATTGTCCTGATTATTATTTATTATTCAAGACGTAACTTTGTATTTTGATATAAAGATTCAAAATAATTCTAATGAGACTATTTGGTGCCTAAGATTTGAAAGTATGTGCATCTCCAATAGAAGATGCATGACCAATTGACCATCAAAATTCAAAAGAATTATCGGAATAGGTGACTTTTTTTTTCTTATTAAAGGCTGGGTGTTTGAGCTTTAAAAATATAAAAAATGCTTTTTTTTCTTAAATATATCATATATATTGTGAACCTAATAAATCATATAACTTAGATGTTTCAAAATGTCTATTCGTTTGATCATTTTCGAGGACAAATTTTGAAGTTCTCAAGTAACTAAAAATTTAACTTGAACATAACAAATATAAATAAATATTTGAGAAGATTACAGTCGAATTAATGCCTTTGATCATCTAGTTAAAAAAATATGTACACTATCTTTGTATACTTTAGTGTAAAAATATATAATATATACATACTATACATAGCATATACAGCCAAAGTATATAGATAATGTATACTTCGGTCATGTTTGTAAAACTAGATGGACGAATGTTATATTTAATGCAAGTCTAATACCTTTAGACCATCTAGTTTGCAAAATATGCATACAGTAAATATTGATCATTTTGGAGACACTGAGATTAGGCATAGAGTAACAAATGAAATGGAAAAAAAAAACTAACTCTGGATTTTCTTGAACCACCCAACCATATATTCCAATTGATGATAAACTGAAAATACTACACTTTGACAATCCCAATCACAGCAATCATGTTGCATTAGGCATAAGCACAGAAATAAAATAAAAAGCAGGCCCAAAGCTACAATTAACCAACAAAGAAAAACACAAAGGAGTAATCACCCTTATAGCATATAGTCTGGTGATATCGATGAAAGTTTTTCACACAATCGATCTGCGATTCTCGATCCCTTTACCTTTCTATCCCCTTCCTCCATGTTAATAAAAACTTAAAAATTTAACAAAATAAAATTAAAACTACTACCAAAGTAATTAGTACATAGAGAGAGTTCCTCTATGAACACAACTAGTTTTCATGGACCAAGCTTGAAATCAATATGATTATCAGAAAATCTAACTCCTCCATTAGTATTCTTATGAGGCTTAGACCCCTTATAATGATTATCTCCATGTGCTGCAGCCACTTTAGAACTTGCAATTTTCTTATCAAATCCAAATTCTATATCCCCTCCTCCTCTTTTATTGTGAAACTCATTGTGCTTATTATTATTATTATGTTTTCCCTCTTTTTGTTTTTGTGGTTGACCATGACTACTTTTCTTCACCTTATTAGCTCCATTGCTTTTCTTGCTACATAAACGTCCCACAACACAAGCAATAACAGATATGACAAAAACAATAGCTAGGACAACAAAAACACTCACAAATGAACCATTGGATGAGTTATGAGAAGAAGAGGATTGAGTCATTGGCATATTGTTTGGTTGGTTAGGGAAATTGTTTGGATTGTTAGGATAAACTTGAACTGGTTGTTGTGGTTGCAATTGATCCATTTTCTTGATAATTTTGGGTCGTGACGATTATGTTAGGGTAGGTAGGACGTAGGACGAGCCTTGATAGAAAATTGTAGAGTAAATAACAAGTGATTGAGTTCAGTAGTTCGACTAAAGACTAAGGTTGGTGTTCTTTGAGTGAAACCAAAGGAAGATGTTGGAGAAGCAAATGGGAGATGGAGAACAATTGCTATTAGCTAAGACAATACATATGGGAATATTTCAATATATATAAAAAGTTTGTTTCTTGAGTGAAACAAGGGAACTAAGAGACTTAGGAGAAACAACTACTCGCTCCGTTTTATTTTATATGACTTACTTTCTTTTTAGTTCGTTTAAACAAGAATGACGCATTTTTACCTTAAGTAACAAATTAACTTTAAACTATCCATTTTATCTTTAATTATGAAGTGATTTGTTAAGTCATAAATTTCAAAAACCTTTATTTTTTTCTAAATTTTGTATTAAATCAAAGTAACTCATATAAAATGGAACGGAAGGTATATTAAAAATCATACATGTGGGATGATTGCATTCCAATGGGTTAGATATATTCTTGGTTTTGTTTGAGGGGATTTTTGAATTAAAAAAAAAGTGATACTTTTTCTTTATTAAAGAGAGACAACTAAAGATATTCTTGTTGTCCTTTACTGCAAGAAGGAAGGGTGTATATTTTAATTTTGTTTTTGCTTTGTTATTAGAGAAAGCAACATTTTGGCTTTCATTCCTTTGAATACTTCACTAATTTGTTGAATTTTTCACTTGGCCCCATGAAAATTACTCTCTTATTCCAACATGATTCAGCTACTTTCACTTTATTGTTTTTATTTTATTCTTTTATCAAACATTTTATTGTTTTATTATACTGCATTATGTCTTATGATGCAGGAGAGATTGCTATCAATATCCTGCTATGTCAGTTTAGTCAGTATAGAACCTTACATGCTTGAATTTGTTTAGTTATATATTTTATTGTACTTTTTCAATATTGCTAGGTTGATTAACACACTAATCGTGAGATTATAAACTTCTCATGATTTGAACGAAAATCGTAAAATTAGAAATTTGAATTTTATGAATTTAAGATATGTCACGATTTAAGTCGTGATGGTATTCACACTTCAGCTACTCAAACCTTGTAGGCAAATTTATAATCAAAACTAAGAAATTTAACTTTTCATATTCAATTTGTGTTATATAAATTGATATATGAAAAACGATACATTGCTTTACACATATAAACGGTATGAGCCAAATTTACTATCAACATTATTACTAAAACTGAGAAAAGAAGCTTAAACATGAGTATGGGTTTTTTTATTTTGATTTTCCACTCGATGTTAGGAGTACATATATAAGAGTTTCACTTAAATTATATAAAACTTGAAATTTAAAATCTCTAATTTAAAGTGAAGTAATCCATCAGAACTCCTATTGATGCGTGTTAGTTATTATTGTTATCATTGATTTTCATGATAATTCCTTTCATTTTTTCCCCACATCTAATTATTTTGGATGTCTCAAAAATTTTCAACATGCTGAATGATGAATGTACATCAATCTTCTACTTTTCAACAGTGGTCTAAGTATACAAGTGTAGCATCATTGTCACCTTTTCTGAAAGGTTAAACACACGTTACATCATGTTCCTTAAAACTTTGGAGTTAAAGTTATAATTAATATGATTATGGCATAAATAAATGTTTTTCATATTATTACTCTACTTTATACCTAATCATATTGGACTTAATAATATACAATAAAATTACATGCTATATATATTTTGGGTAAACTCAATTGATAGTGTAAATAAACATGTATACTACAAGTGTGAAAACGTACTCAAAATAATAGGAAATAATGAATTAAAGTATAACTTTAGTTGTGTCAAATAACTTGGACGGGGAAAAGCAAAATGATATCTAATTGGGATTTGTGTCGAAAACAAGAGATTATATTTTGTACTCCCTTTGGCTCAAATTTTCGTTTCATCTTTCACGCACCCCTTTAAAAATATATTATAATAATTAAAATAAATTTGATTGTCTTATTTTTAGTTTTATTTATTCCTAAGATATGATCTCTTTTCCAATATAAGCTGTTTATATTCTTTAAAAATAATTATTCTTTTCATTTATTTTTGTTTGTTTATGCTTGACTTAGCTGCTTACAAAATAATAAATAAAAGAATAATTTTAAAATATTATTTTTTTGGTAAGAATATCATCTCTATTGATTACTATAATTTTTAAATGTTGGAGAATAAATAATAGGGATAATGCCTAAGTACCCCTCAACCTATGCCCGAAATCTTAGAGACACACTTATACTATACTAAGGTCCTATTACTCCCTGAACTTATTTTATTAATAATTTTTTACCCCTTTTTAGCTTACGTGACACTATCTTGTGGGCACAACGATGGTTGACTTTTTTTTCCGAACTAGTGCCACGTAGGCTAAAAAGGGGTAGAAAATTACATATAAAATAAGTTCAGGGGGTAATAGGACCTTAATATAGTATAAGTGTGTCTCTGGAATTTCGGGCATAGGTTGGGGGTACTTGAGTTTTTTCCCTAAATAGTACATATAATAAAGATAAATAAATACAAAATAAAATTGGGACAATTATGTTTGTATACTCAGACAAATAAAAATGGAAGGAAGAAAGTACTTTTAAGGATACAATGGGAAAAATATATAATTAGTTTTGTTTTAAACTTCTAAATGACAAATAATTTGAAAAGATTATTTTAAAGAAAGATAATTTGAAATAAAATAATTATTATGGTATTTTATCGGTTCACTTTTACTTGTTCATCATTTTAAAATTATATCTTCACTTTTTCTTCTCTTTTAATTAGTATATCAAGAGATTTACTTATTCATCATATTAAAAATATATCTTCACTTTTTCTTCTCCTTTAATTAGTATATCAAGAGAAAATATGTTTTATCCTTAATATCAATTACTCACTTCTGATTTATTTCTAAAAAAATTCAATATCAATTAATAAGAATATTATAATAAAATATCTATATCAATTATTATTATTTTTAAAAATATATCGAATGAACATGTAAAATAAACGAAGTTGAGATTAGAACAAAGTTGCTGAAATCGAGGAGGATATGTGTTAATAATCGCCGTATACTATTTATGATCTGGTCTTCAATCTTATATTAATGATTTTGAGAATAAAAGTGAAGGTGGTCATATTTGTTATAAGCATTGGTGGCATAAAAAGCAGAAAATAATCATCATAATGTGAAATGTGGAAAAGTAGGTATGAATCCACCAACATAAATTAAAGTAGATTTTTTTTTTCAATTTGCAAAAATGGAGAAAAAAGAAATATATATAGTGGTGGGAGTAATTTAGGACAGTACTCTTTGCTTTGATTCTTTTCTTTATACCTTGGCTTTTGGGAAAGTAATTATAGGATATGATCTTGATAGAGTTGGAGTAGGGTTCCTTTGTCTTCCAATGATTAAATCACTAATTATGGTTGTTAAATCATTAATCACTTCATTAAATTAAACCTTTTGTCCACCTCACCTCTTTCCAAAGGATTAACAAGATTTTTTTTATATTCGAAGTTTAAATTCGTAAATTTTAATTAAAGATGAACAGTTTCATCACTACGTCACAACCCATGTTGGTAACCTTATATCAGCTTAGCTTTAGCTCATACCTAAATATTAAAAGTACAAGTATTTTTTCAACAAAACAATCCTTGGTAAAACCTTGGGCATTTTTATTTATTTATTTTTAAAAGAATTGGTCAAAAAGGAGATAAGAGAGATAAAAATTAGATAAAATGAAGACAGCAAAAAAAAAAAGAGAAAGAAACATACAGCCTTTTTCACTCTTCATAGCATCCTTTTTTCAAGTTTACCAGCCTTGTAATTTTTTTTTCAAATCATTTATGAAAGAGCAAGAACCATGTTCAAAAGAGGAATATATAGAAAATGTTTTTGTTGATACATATTGAAGTTAAAGTATATTTCGAAAATAAAAGAAGAAAATATATGAATTAACATTCTTCAAACGCTCCTAGTAATTCTATGTCTTTTACTTTTATAAAGAACCAAATCAAGGGATGTTCATACTGTTTTTTTTTTTTATAAAAAAAACAAGAAGATGTTAAGCCTTAAAAGATGAGAAAAGAAAGAAATAAAACTTAGCGAAAAATTATTTTTTCCCTCTATAATAATAATGAGGAGGACTGTTAATTTTGCGCTCATACGATAAAACCTCACTAATAATATTTGGTTGATTAATAATTTCTCTAAAGTATTATACACATATTTGTGAATATTCATGATGAACATTTGAGTATTTTAATGGAGAAAATGCAGACATATTATACACATATTCTCATAGTATACATACACATTATACATAGGGGATTTTATTCTCATAGAACACGTATCTTTTAACATTAATTAAGGGTCAAATGTTATGTTTGAACACAGTTATATTGAAATCGACGGAGGCTCAACTATAAATAAATTAGAGTCCAAAACTAAAAAGGGCTTTTTTTTCTTATGTCAAAACGAGAACAAGTTTTTTTTCTTCTTATAGGATGAAATCCTTACTATTATCATGTGATAAGGATGAGTCGCGTAAACTTAAAGGCAAGTTCTATTAATTGAGTGGTGGTTAGATTAAATATGTTGTATGTGATGATCAGTCAAGAACTTCCACGTTTTAAAAGATGATTAAAGTAGCAAAATACGTAGTAAAAAATAGCAGTTCCACAGGAGAGATGAAATCTTGTATAATAGTCAAGTTATTTTTCAACGAACCACTTCAAGAAGTATACTTAACCACATTCACTACACACCAAATGATTTCTTTGCAAGGTTGAATGATTTGATCTAAAATCTTGAACTTGATCATTTTAATGGAAAAATGACAGACAACCATAATGACACTTATAACAGTGGACATCATTTTAATATGTTTCATACTTTAATGTACTCATACATTTTATAGTTGTGTTTTTCAATTTCTCGAGTTGAGCATTACTTGGATACTATCACCTCGGTAGGTGGATTGGCAATCTCCTCAATTCTAATACATTCACCAAGTTGTTGCACGGCTTCCATGAAGATCCCCCGTCCATTTTGTGCATGTCCTTCGCCTAACGGTCTTATTAATGGTACTGCTGTTTTCAAACATTGGGAGCAACGGTTGCTCCAGCAATGTCTATGTTGTGCGAAATTTGAGAT